GATATCATTACCTACCAGGCTATATTTTCTATTTAACCCTATCTTTACCCCCCACCCCCCTCCTTCTCATCCCTTCGCTTTGATACTGAGTCCTGGTTAAGACTACTATATACAGATATTATCTTTTTTCTGTCTCCCTGTACAACAGTTCTCTCTTTACCAGGTATCTCACAGCACTCTCAATTGGGATGTACTCTAGTTAGTATCTGTGAATATTTATTTCACCCACTTGATATCCCCTAGGGGTTTTTTCCTGGCAACTTTTATAGCCAGTCCTGTTTTAATATGTATGTCATTTTCTATTAAAGGTCTTAGAACCCGTTATACTTAGTACATTTATATTTTAGGAGGTATAGATCCATGAATGAATAGGTTTCCCACCTTTATATTCAATTCTGGTGGTTTTCCATTTCATTTCTCTTTTTTTCTCATAACTTGCAGGGGTTAAGCCCCCTATACCTTCTGTAACCTCTACAGAGTTCTGGGTAGTTGACTAAATCTCAACACCCTATAAACTCTGTCCCCCCCCTTTTTAATATTTTACTATATTTAGGGAGGCAAGAAGGTGTCAGGGTGGTGGTTTTAACATAATAGGGTACGAAATACATGATTGTGTTCCTGACACTATAGTGCTCCTTTAAGCAAGAGTATGTGAAGAGTAGTTAAGGTTGCCACCTTTCTTGGAAAAAAATACCAGCCTTAATCATTTGTATAATTAGTTATGCGTGACATCACATGATGTAAATCACAAGTAGTGACATCAGAGAAAATTCTGTAAAATCACCAACAAACTACTCACAGTTTGATTCTGCTGTATAGATGGATTGCTCCCAGTGTCTGTGTCCCTATGTATCACAGTGTCAGTGTCCCCATGTCGCCCAGTCCCCTAGTCTCCCAGTGTCTGTGTCCCCATTTCTCCCAGTGTCCCAATGTCTCAGTGTGTCCCCATGTCACTAGGATACTGGGGACACAGAGACATGGGGACACTGAGAGACCCGGGGACACAGAGACATGGAGACACTGGGAGACATGGGGACACTGAGACATTTAGGGAAACTGGGAGAAATGGGGACACTGAGACACTAGGGACACAGACACTGGGAGACATGGGGACACTGAAACATTTGGTGACACTAAGACACTAGGGACACAGACATGGGAACACAGACACTGGGAGACTAGGGGACACTGTCTGGGAGACAGACACTTGGAGACACATGGGGACAGTTGTGGACATAGACATGGGGACACTGGGACACATGGGGACACTAGGCACACTGAGAGACATGGGACACAGACACTGGGAGACTTGGGGACACTGAGACACTAGGGACACTGGCTGGGGGACATAGTGTCTCTGTGTCCCAATGCCCCTATGTCTCACAGCATCCCCATGTGTCTCAGCATCCCCATGTGTCCCAGTGTCCCCTAGTGTCTGTGTCCCCATGTTTTCCAGTGTCCCCAAGTGTCTGTATCCCCAGGTCTCCTAGTGTCTGTGTCCCCATGTGTCCTAGTGTCTCAGTGTTCCCTAGTGTCTGTGTCCCCATATGATCCCAAGTGTCTCAGTGTCCCCTAGTGTCTCAGTGTTCCCAGGTCTCCCAGTGTCTCAGTGTCCCTGCTGCCTTTCCCCCCATCCCTCACTTACCTGAGCTGTAGAGCTGCTGTCCGGACTTTCTGTGCTGTGTAGCTGCTCAGTGAGTAGTAGAGAGAGGCAGAGAGGGATATTCTGTAACTTCCTATCCCTGCCTCTCTCCACACACAGTGACCCCTACTGGCCGGTGCTGGTATTCAAGAGTAATTTCCATTTATTCTGAGAAAATTACCTGCATTTGTATTGCCAGTATTACTGCAATACCGGCACGACCAGGCCGCCTCAAATACCATCTGTGCCATTAAAATACCAGTCAGGTGGCAAACCTAAGAATAGTGTGTAAAAAAAAAAAAAAAAAAAATATTTTTTTTTTTTTTTTTTTAAATGGGCCTGGGCCTGGGCCTGGGCCTGGAGCTGCAGCTCCATCAGCCCCTTTGTTAATCCGGCCCTGCTTTTAGCATGTCACAATGGTGGGTCCTGTAATTACATTGAAGCACAAATCAGCAGAACGAGTAATACAATGTATTGAGTTTATTAATGTGGGATTGTGGTGCAGATGCATATACTACATCTCCATAATCAATGATTGGCATCACATTTGCTGTACAATCTTTTCCTTTACTGTAGGGCTTAGGCAGGATATGTTTCTGTTATAAATACATACAGGTGATACTCAAAAAGTTAGAATATCGGGCAAAAGTTCATTTATTTCAGCAATGCAACGTAAAAGGGAAAACTAATATATGAGATAGACGCATTACATGCAAAGCAAGATAGTTCAAGCCATGATTTGTCATAAGTGCGATGATTATGGCTTACAGCTCATGAGAACCCCAAATCCACAATCTCAGTAAATTAGAATCCTACATGCAATCAATAAAAGAAGGAGTGTACATAGAACAATATCGGACCTCTGAAAAGTATAAGCATGCATACGGACTCAGTACTTTGTTTGGGCCCCTTTTGCAGCAATTACTGCCTCGATGCGGCGTGACATGGAAGCTATCGGCCTCCATGCCATGCCGGTGTTATGGAAGACCAGGATGCTTCAATAGCAGCCTTCAGCTCTTCTGCATTGTTCGGTCTCGTGTCTCTCATCTTTCTCTTGGTCAGGGGAGTTTGCTGGCCAATTAAGTACAGTAATCCCACGGTCATTGAACCAGGCTTTGGTGCTTTTGGCAGTGTGGGCAGGTGCCAAGTACTGCTGGAAAATGAAGTCAGCATCCCCATAAAGCTCATCTGCAGAAGGAAGCATGATGTTCTCCAAAATCTCCTGGTAGACGGCTGTGTTGACCCTGGACTTAATGAAGCACAGTGGACCAACACCAGCAGATGACATGGCTCCCCAAATCAACACAGACTGTGGAAACTTCACACTGTTACTTCAAGCATCTTGCAGTGTGTGCCTCTCCATTCTTCCTCCAGACTCTGGGTCCTTGGTTTCCAAATGAGATGCAAAAGTTGCTCTTATCAGAAAAGAGCACTTAAGACCACTGAGCAACAGACCAGGTCTGTTTTTCTTTAGCCCAGGTAAGACGCTTCTGACGTTGTTTGTTGTTCAGGAGCGGTTCAGATCATATCTGAGGAAAAGTTAGTGGCTTTCCTCCTGCGATTCATATAGCTGTGGAAAAAGCAAAACATTATATTTCTAGGATGTCCTGGATTTGTTTACTATGGAAGTGAAGAAACTGAATGTCAGCTCACAGTATGTGAGCTGCACGGAGGGCAACCTCTGGATATGTATTTATTGCACAACAGATCAGAAACTCCTCTGTGGGATTTGTGCCACAGGTAGGCAACACAAAAATAATGTCTTCTCCTCCATAGAAGAAGCCTACTACCAGCAGAAGCGCTCACTGGAGACTCTGCTTCAAAGGTTTAACAAGAGTCAAAGCAAACTGCTCTCGGGGCGTGGCCTAACCTCGGACAAAGATGGACGCCTGATCCTAAAGCTCCGATCCCCCCACACGCTAAATCCCCTGCCATCTGCATCCCTCACACCACGAAACAGCGTGTCACCATATCAGCCAAAGCCCTAAAACAGCCCGCACCCGATCCGACCTGAAAGAAATGGGCGGCAACAAGAAACGGAGGGACACGAACCCATCTGTGGCCTCCATATTCCGCACGCCATCAGACCAGAGCAACCTCCTCACAAGCAGAAGAGGAATCAGGTTCAGATGCCGAAAGCCTGGACGCAACGGCGAACCCGGCGGCCCACATAACCATCAGGGTACTGCGGGACATGCTGCACCAAGCGACTACAGACATAAAGGCCCATGTAGCCACCGAGATAGAACGGCATGTAGCAGGCCTTAAGGCGGAAGTAGTAGGCCTCAACGCCCGCACAGACCAGGTAGAAACCCGGATTGCCTCCATCCACGCCACCTCCACAAATCACACCCAGGACATAGCATATCTATACGGCCACATGGCTGCCCTAGAAGATGGCCTGGAAGACCTAAACAATAGGTCCAGACGGAATAACATTCGAATCCGCGGCCTACCCAAAACCGTCACCATAGAACAACACCATAGTCCCCACACTTAAAAGCATTTTCAAGGCACTGGCCCCTGAACTCACACCTCAGGAGATGGAAATGGATAGGGCCCATAGAGCCCTCCGCCCGCAAAATCTGGGCGCCTCCACCCCAAGAGACGTGATCACCCGCCTACACTTCTTCAAAACCAAAGAGAAACTACTGACCCTGGCGCGGGACAAGCCCCCACGCTATAAGGAAACCTGTCTAACTTTCTTCCAAGACCTAGCCCCCTCCACGCTCAAAAAGAGAAGAGACCTCAAACCTCTGACACTTGCCCTCCAGCAACAAGGCATCAAATATACCTGGGGACACCCCTTCAAACTCATGATCAAAAAAGACGATCAAATGCACATCCTCACCTCAGTGTCGGACATGACACCCTTCACGGAATCCCTGGGGATACAGCTGCTGCAACTAGCCCCCTTCCACAAGAACAGAGAAGATGGGCGACCACACGACGACCCTGACTCCCTTAGACCGCCCAAGAAATTGAGAATACCCGCCAACCCGGAGGAACCCCCTCCGCAACGCCGGGACAGCCGCCACTAACCTTTGCGGGACCGACCGCTTGCCTCTTGGACTCCCTCACACCACCGGCCAGCATGGAACACCCAGGTGTGGTAAGAGGCTCCCCCCAAACTGACAGGGCATCCCCCACCTTTCTCACCATCTGCCACCTTCTTTCCCCCCCCTCCAAATCCATCCGCAATCCCAGGATGGGATATTATGACCCACGAACTGGCCCAGACCCTGGTCCTCCGGTCACTGGATACAAACAACCACCACATTCAACCTAAGGTCAAAGCAAACGTGACGAACAGGATGAGACCTGAGCAATGCACCACCAGCCAGTAAGGGACCCCCCACTTAACTCCAGACACGGCTCCAGGTCACCACCATGCCGGAATAGCAGGTCACGGAAAGATCATCTTCTAACACCTCGCCTGACACCATACCCAACATCAAATATGACCTGCTACCCAAGAACTATTCACGAACTGAATTGGGGACTCCACAGCCAATTACTGGGGTCACAATCTAACCAACTCTTACTTTGCAGGTACCCCTCCAGCACGACCCATGACCAGACAACCAACCCCCGCCCTTGCCCCACAAGACGAACCCCTCAGAACGCACTGGTACCCACACCACCCCCCTCCCATGACCCAGGACAGACTCCATGAGCTAACCCAACCAGACAGTCCCACCCTCCCCCATACCTAAACAAACCCCAGAACCCACACGTGACGTGACAGACCACAACAACAACGATAGACACCCACAAAGACGAAAAGGAGGACACCCCACAACTGATCCGGAGGAAGCTCCCCAATCCCATACCCCTACCCCCCCCAATGTAAACGCAATACCACAAGTTCACCAACACAGACCCCCACTGACCAAGTCAGGAACCCCCAGACACCCCCCCAACCCAGGCAAGACAGACGGGTAAACCCCCTCAAACCGGAACCGTCACTGGCATTGAAATGTTTTATAGTTTACTGTTCACACAAATGGTATGCAGGTGATATATCAGGAACTGAGAACACACTTATGGCTGAAATTTTTACATGTTGTTTTTATTATGTTGTTATCTAATGTTTTCTACTACCTCTGACAGAAACCGAAAGCACGATCCACGGAATAACACACACAGGACTACAGACGAAGACAACACAAGAAATATTCCAAACACCGACTGAGGGACCACGACCGGCACCTTACACTACAGACAGACAACACCGCATCGCTAAACCGTGAGTGCAACACCACACCCAGCGCGGGGGGGAGAGGAGTAACAGGAGACCCCCCTCAACCCAGAGCCCACACCACACCAAAAACACGCCCAGTAACGAACCGCCACCACAACTACACACAACCATGCCAGACACAATCTCCTGCATATCTATCAATTGCAAGGGACTTAACAATCCGGCCAAGCGACATCGCACACTACGCTGAGCCAACAGAATGAGGGCAGACATAATCCTCCTCCAGGAAACCCATTTTGAGACAAAAAAACCCTTTCCTCTAACCAACAAAAACTACAAACAATGCTACCTAGCAAACTCGCCGCAGGGCAAACAGAATGGGGTAGCCATCATGGTTCACAAAAAATGCCCAATCACAATCCTAAAAAGCCTCCCAGATCCCCAAGAGAGATACCTGACGGTCACAGGACAACTTGCCAACCACAAATACGCGATTACTACGGTCTACGCCCCGAACACACCCGAACCAACTTTCTGGACAGCACTACGCACACAATTAAAACTGTTCCCTTCACACCACACCATCCTGGGTGGAGATCTCAACGCAGTCCTAACCCCATCCATAGACAGGAAAAGCGCAGGGAGAAACAAACCATACATGCCCTCCACCAGGAAAAATGACAAACTCCTTATGGAGTTTGCTAACCAAACAGGCCTCCAAGACATATGGAGACTCCAACACCACACAACCCCGGACTTCACCTTCTACTCGCACCCAAACTCTTCTTACTCCGGGATAGACCTATTCCTAATATCCCCCTCTCTAGTGCCTCACACACAATCCACCTCGATAGGTTCAATCACCTGGTCTGATCACGCCGAAATCTCCCTCAACATAGACAAACCTCACACGGCCAAAGCATGGACCTGGAGACTGAACCCCACACTCCTACATAACCCCCAAATCAGACAAAACATCCAACAGGAGCTCACGAGCTACTTTGAGGTCAACACAGGATCGGTCCCAGCCACGAACACACTGTGGGCAGCCCATAAAGTCCAACAAGTCAGACACCCTCCTTGCACGCAGACTCCGACATAAAACTCTCCAAAAATGCATAGACAAAATCACCTCACCTGGAGGTAGAACCCACAACGACCCTGACCGCATAGCCTCCATATTCGTTGATTACTTCTCCAAACTATATGACCATGACCCCAACCACACCCTCACTCACCCGATGATAGGACAGGAAATACACAACTTCCTATCGAAAATCCCCCTCCCAGCACTAACAATCCAGGAACGGGACTCCCTCGCGTCCCCAATCACCGAAGAGGAAATAGCCCTCACAATAAAGCACACAAAACCCAACAAATGTCCAGGACCCGATGGCTTCACGGGCCTCTACTACAAAACATTCAGCGCCACACTGATACCCCACCTGACCGCACTCTGCAATTCTATAATGGAAGGCGACCAGGTACCACCGGAAATGCTCACGGCCAACATATGTCTAATCCCCAAACCGCACAAAACGCACCTAGACCCTGGACATTACCGCCCAATATCCCTCCTCAACACGGACATTAAAATCCTCACGAAAACACTGGCCAACAGAATACAACGACTCCTCCCAAAACTCGTACACCCAGACCAAGTAGGATTTATCCCCAACCTGCCAAGCCTGCGATAATACCAGACGCACAATAGACTTAATATGGAGAGCCCAACATAGGAACATTCCCACCCTACTGCTCTCAATGGATGCAGAAAAAGCGTTTGATCGCTTACTCTGGCCCTTCCTATTCGCCACTCTATGAAAATTCCACTTCCCCGACACCATCATCACGGCTCTCACAATCCTATACTCCAACCCCACAGCAACTCTCCTCCTCCCCAACACTGGACCGCACGAATTCACAATACGAAATGGAACTAGGCAAGGCTGCCCGCTTTCCCCACTCCTGTTCGCCCTCTCCCTGGAACCCCTTCTCCAACTCATTCGCACATCCCCCGAAATCCTAGGCCTCAAAGTTCGACAGGAAGAATATAAGATCGCAGCGTATGCAGATGATATCTTCCTGACTCTCACGGACCCCACTAACTCCCTACCCCCCTGCTCACACTCCTCCAACAGTATGCCAGCGTCTCAGGCTACAAACTAAACCTAGAGAAAACAGAAGCCCTTCCCCTCAACTTCCCGCAATCACTCTTAACCCAAATAATAGATAAATTCATCTGGGCTGACAAAAGACCACGAATTAAATGGATAACAATGTACAAAACAGTTAAGACCGGAGGCCTGGGCCTCCCTAACCTTATGCAATATTATCAAGCGGCCCAACTAGCCCAAGTGCAACATCTTCACTCCCCCCCGGGAACAAAACTGTGGGTAGATCTGGAGCATGACCTCCTAGGCAGAGACCACCCCTCCCTCCTCTTTTGGCTCCCCAAAAATACAGACCGGCACTCCCCCTGACAACACCCGCCCTAACCACATCATTACAACTCTGGGATAGAACCACCGCACGACACCCCCTCATAAACTCCCCCTCACCACTCACCCCAATCCTCATAAATAAACGATTCTCCCAGGCATGACACCACGAGATTACGCACATTATGAGGACAATGGGCTAACCAGACTTAGAGACTTCTATAGAAACCAACAACTGATACCATTCCCAGAACTCCCATGTACCACACCACTGAACACCTTCGACCACTTTAGATACCTACAATTACGCAGCTTTCTAACAGAACCCCAGAATAGAAAAACAGCGACCACAAAACTCACACGATTCGAAACAAACTGCCTACAAGCCCCCACACACAAGGGACAAATCTCCCTGATATACTCCCTACTAAACTCCAACTCCCCAGCTGACACACTTACATACACGAAGGCATGGGAAAGAGACATAGGCCCACCAGAGGACCCAACAGTCTGGGCAAGCATATGGGAAGCAACCGCCTCACTCACCATATGCGTGAATCATAAAGAACAGGCGTACAAAACCATGCTCAGATGGTACCTGACACCTCTGAAACTCAAACAAATGGGAATAGCCCACACAGACACATGCTGGAAAAAATGTGGACAACAAGGACCATACATCCACATGTGGTGGCACTGCCCATACAGCTCGCAACTCTGGACTGAGGTTGCCAACCTCACCTCCAGAACACTGCACGAAGACATACCCATGGATCCCTGGACGTGGCTACTCTCAAAACCCCAACCCGACTACCAAGGGCACAAAACAAACTGGTGGCGAAAATGGCCCTCGCTACTAGACGCACCATAGCAGAGCAGTGGGGTAACCATAACACACCTACACTAACAAAAATGATCCAAAAAACTAATGAAACCATGGAGATGGACAAACTCCATTCTACACGACACGACAAAACACTTCCACAAAATCTGGGACCCTTGGATTATGAGGCATATAATAGGGGTGTAGGACACGGGCCGGGGCGTGCGGCCACTCCAGGACTTCCCTCCACCCCTCCCTTCCCCCCCTCGCGATACCATACCCCCACACACAAGCTACCCATAACATACCCACGATAAAACATACCCACAGGAAACACCACAAAACCAAGATGACAAAAGACACGCTAACCACCCCTGACCACCAAACCAAGACGCAGCTAACACCACAAACACAACACAGACGTAACCAGGACGATGCTACTAACAGAAGCGACCTACAGAAACACATAAAATTAGGCAACAAAACGGACCCGATGACCAAAGGGGAACGCACACCCTACACATATTCTGTAAAATGCGTGAAGGCTCGTGCCACTCCCTCATGTATGATACTCTTGCAGTACGCCGCTATAGCGCATGCTTATATCTTGTACCTACCAACACATTAGAAATCAAGTGAGAATCTACACGGTCAAAATACCAATAAAAATGTGCTAACTCTTGAGGGTCGACTGACCCCGGATTCAGACTTACCGCCCAAGTTGAGATCCTCTCTGTGAAGTTGTAAATTCAATTGATTATACTCTGTGTGCTGCTGCACCCATAATGCTAGGTTTCCTCCCAGTAGCTTCACTATCTGACAATAACTATTGCACGTTGCACCGTTATATTAGTTATGATCATTCATAACTAACGAGCTACTACAAATCTAGCTGTACGTCGAGATTACCTCTCCATTATACAGTCCATCGCCAGGACATGCATGCTTAGCCTGAATATGTTCTATTCTATACTGTTATTACCATACAATTGTGCTATTACTCTGTGTGCCATACTACTGTTTTACCATGTGTGTATTTGAACAGCTTGTTCCTGCTGTTGTGGCAATGCAAGCTTGTATATTATATTATGCACAACAAAAATAAAGAATTATTAAAGAGTCAAAGCAAACTGCTCTCATGTCTCAAATCATTACATGAGAATAAAAGCAAGGTTCTCGATACCCTGTCTATGGAGTCTGAGAAAATAAACATCTACTTTGAAAAAGTGCAGCAAATGTTGGAACAGAAAAAATACAGCATCCAAGCTGAGTTTGACAAAGCAAAACGTGACTTCATGCAAGCTTATGATCCAAGGATCAACAAGACAAACACTCTGCTTGCAGACATGGACAATGTTCACAAAAGTGCTGAAAATTTAAAGGTGAAATCAGACCCTCTGTGATTTCTCCATAAAGTGCAGGAATGTAGGCAGAAGATCTGTGAGGTTAAGGAAGTGCCAATACCATTAGTTCCTAATCTGGCAGTCAGCCCTCGTATGAAGAACGTTGATACCAATGCATGGAATAACACCAGACTTGCAGATGTGCACAAAATATCTTTGTCTAAATCTCCAAAGAGGAAGCCTAATCCTTGGTCAAAAATCCACCACTGGGTTCGCACTGTATCTGTTGTAATACTGCTTTTCTCTGTGTTGCTAGCAGCAACTTCCTCAGGGTCCTTTGATATGATTGTCAATGATATACATCCAGCTAGCTCCTTCCTGTCACATGTCACTGGAAAGGCCATCTGCTGGTGGCAGATGGCAGAAGAGATATTACGCATGACCAGAAGGTGTCAGTCTGATGTGACTGAATTTGTATCAAGATTGATAAAAGGTCCTGAAAAACGATTGTTACTGGACATGGAGATAAAGAAGGCCGCACCAGTTTCAACTACAGTTTCGCCCATTGTCCAAATTAATAAGAAGCAAGTAAATACATGGTCCACCTGCCCAGTGCATTTTGCAAATAGCAGTGATTATGGACCGGTGATACCATGTAAGAGCTGGAGGTTAATAACAAGGCATAGAAGGCATCATTTGATCCTATACGAATATCTAAATCCAGTACGCTCCTATCTGATAAATGCTGTTGGAAAGGCAGTTGTGCACATCTCTAGGGGAAGCTGGAAGCTCATTGCTGAAGAAATATTAATTGTGAAGAAAAAGTGGCGGAGCTACATCACCGCATTTATAGAACATGTAATCGAATTAACCTATTCCTTTAGATGGTAGAAATATTATGGCCTCTGAGGGAAAAATATAATTTATGTAGCTGATGCCCCAGGTGCACATATCAACAAAGGAATGGGGCAAAAATGTTCAAACACGTAGATCGGACCAAACCACTTCTTTTTGTGGTTTATACATACATTTGAAACTACCCACTTGCTGATGTTGGAGATGCAGTTCTGCAAGAAAGAGAGCTTTTATGCAAACCTGTCTTATTTGTTGTCAATAAAATAGACCTTTTAAATGCTGAAGAGGTCATTCATCGTCTGGTGACCTCTTCCAGTGCATCCAGTTGAATTCCAGTATATTCTTCCTGTCTCTGCTGAAACTGGTCCAGGTATAGAGGAGCCTATATGTTGTATTTGAAGGTTTATTGGTGAGCAGGCTGAATTGGAAATTTGAGTCTGCGCAGGAGAAACTTCAGAGCCTTCAAAGTACGCCATCTGGAACTAGAAAAAAACAAACCGGCGATGTGTCCATAAGGCAAGAAATGAACCAATACTTATATCTTTTCAATGTGAAGTGCACTTTAGACACTTGTACTGTACACTGAATGTTTAATGAATCTTACAATAAAATGTTTTATTAAAAAAATTGAAAACCAGGCCTTTTCTGTTTAATCCATTTGAATTCCTACAATACACAAATGATTGTCTACTGCTATCCCAACAATTGAAATATGTTATCTAGCATTAAACGTGAATTTAAATTAGAAAGAAGTCATTTCTGGAGCGCTAAACTTTTTAAAGAATCCGATATTGTTCTTAAATTATGTGATAAAAAGAGCTCTTTGTGGCTTAAAAATTATGTCTTCTACACACTCAAGTGCAATCGCAATGCACAGAAGACAGAATAAACCACTAAAAAATAAAATCACAAGTGGAGCAGTATTGTATATATGGTAATAAATATATATATATATATATATATATATATATATATATATATATATACAGGGAGTGCAGAATTATTAGGCAAATGAGTATTTTGACCAAATCATCCTCTTTATGCATGTTGTCTTACTCCAAGCTGTATAGGCTCGAAAGCCTACTACCAATTAAGCATATTAGGTGATGTGCATCTCTGTAATGAGAAGGGGTGTGGTCTAATGACATCAACACCCTATATCAGGTGTGCATAATTATTAGGCAACTTCCTTTCCTTTGGCAAAATGGGTCAAAAGAAGGACTTGACAGGCTCAGAAAAGTCAAAAATAGTGAGATATCTTGCAGAGGGATGCAGCACTCTTAAAATTGCAAAGCTTCTGAAGCGTGATCATCGAACAATCAAGCGTTTCATTCAAAATAGTCAACAGGGTCGCAAGAAGCGTGTGGAAAAACCAAGGCGCAAAATAACTGCCCATGAACTGAGAAAAGTCAAGCGTGCAGCTGCCACGATGCCACTTGCCACCAGTTTGGCCATATTTCAGAGCTGCAACATCACTGGAGTGCCCAAAAGCACAAGGTGTGCAATACTCAGAGACATGGCCAAGGTAAGAAAGGCTGAAAGACGACCACCACTGAACAAGACACACAAGCTGAAACGTCAAGACTGGGCCAAGAAATATCTCAAGACTGATTTTTCTAAGGTTTTATGGACTGATGAAATGAGAGTGAGTCTTGATGGGCCAGATGGATGGGCCCGTGGCTGGATTGGTAAAGGGCAGAGAGCTCCAGTCCGACTCAGACGCCAGCAAGGTGGAGGTGGAGTACTGGTTTGGGCTGGTATCATCAAAGATGAGCTTGTGGGGCCTTTTCGGGTTGAGGATGGAGTCAAGCTCAACTCCCAGTCCTACTGCCAGTTCCTGGAAGACACCTTCTTCAAGCAGTGGTACAGGAAGAAGTCTGCATACTTCAAGAAAAACATGATGTTCATGCAGGACAATGCTCCATCACACGCGTCCAAGTACTCCACAGCGTGGCTGGCAAGAAAGGGTATAAAAGAAGAAAATCTAATGACATGGCCTCCTTGTTCACCTGATCTGAACCCCATTGAGAACCTGTGGTCCATCATCAAATGTGAGATTTACAAGGAGGGAAAACAGTACACCTCTCTGAACAGTGTCTGGGAGGCTGTGGTTGCTGCTGCACGCAATGTTGATGGTGAACAGATCAAAACACTGACAGAATCCATGGATGGCAGGCTTTTGAGTGTCCTTGCAAAGAAAGGTGGCTATATTGGTCATTGATTTGTTTTTGTTTTGTTTTTGAATGTCAGAAATGTATATTTGTGAATGTTGAGATGTTATATTGGTTTCACTGGTAATAATAAATAATTGAAATGGGTATATATTTGTTTTTTGTTAAGTTGCCTAATAATTATGCACAGTAATAGTCACCTGCACACACAGATATCCCCCTAACATAGCTATAACTAAAAACAAACTAAAAACTACTTCCAAAAATATTCAGCTTTGATATTAATGAGTTTTTTGGGTTCATTGAGAACATGGTTGTTGTTCAATAATAAAATTAATCCTCAAAAATACAACTTGCCTAATAATTCTGCACTCCCTGTATATATATAGTGATAATATAAGATGTATACAACCGTAATTTATGAATCCTCCAGTAGGTGGCACTCAATCAATATGCATACAATGAAAAAAAAAGGAAATGACAGTGCAAATCGTTTTTTAAATGCATAAATCAAGTATTTTCCTATGATACATCACTATTTGTAGAAGGGTGTATATACACACTCAATGTATAAAATATACTATATATAAAATGTATATATATTAATAAAATTGCTTCTATAGTAAGCCAAAATTATATGCATTCACAGTACAAGTCTATTATACATATTCTGTTGATATGACAGGTATCCAAATAAACTCATGCATACAATGTAGTTAAAGGGACACTATAATCACCCAGACCACTTCAGCTCAATGAAGTGGTCTGGGTGCCAGGTCCCCCAGGTTTTAACCCTTCAGATGCAAACATAGCAGTTTCAGAGAAACTGCTATGTTTACATTTGGGGTTAATCCAGCCTCTAGTGGCGGTCTTCTGGACAGCCACTAGAGACGCATCTGCGATGCTGGAGGCACATTTCGTCTCCACCACGCAGAGCATCCATAGGAAAACATTGAGAAATGCTTTCCTATGGACCCTTTGAATGTGCACGCGCCATTGCCGCGCATACGCATTCAGCTCCTCTGACGTCGGACGGGGGAGGAGAGGTCACCAGCATAGAGGGAGCTGCTGTTTGTGTGTAAAGTG